ATACCCGGGGGTGATCCCACGTCACCCTATCCCATACAGGTCCAATAACACAACATAACTGATATTTCTCAATTCAACCTAGCCGACAAGCCTTAGAATCTAACTTCTAACATCCGAAATTTCTTATAAGATCTGAATCTCGCAACATACACCTTGTATAAGTCTGAACAAGCTGTACCAAGCCGCAACTATAACCCAAGATACAATCGCATGATATACCGTATAACTCAAATACTCATAGCAATGATTTCTAATCACAACAGTTGTCCAAAATAATCCAATTCCAGTAATAAACCTCATATCAAACAAGACTCCATTCTGAAAGCTTCATACACTACCGATGATGAAAAGAACATGCAGAAACTCATAACTATTCATCAGATCAACCAGTCATGGAACTCCCTCTCCTTCGACAAGAACTATAGCAAATTTTTAAGCCGACTTTCGATATTATCCTTCTAACCATGCTGTAGTCTATTCCGATAGTATCCATTCTAGGTCCAATGACCCCATCCTCGATCTCTACCTCTGCAAGTCATAACTGATTCACTAGTATACCCCGAATCGAAACCAATACAACATATAACCGTGCAATCAACTCATCGATAGCAGACTCCCCCACTTGGCTCAAAGCCACATAACAAAAGACTCGATAACATCACGATACCCATACTCTATTACTACCAGAATCCCGCATAGAAATTCAACTAAATCCTTCGTAATCTCATGTAACACAAACCATATAATACCTCAAATCTCGCATTCATCCTCGTGATAGTCAGGTCAACTGTTACAACCGATCCAAACTCAAATCGCACAAATATACCCCACTGGTAGAAAAGAAAGCCCCCACACAATGTTATAAAAAACACACATCCGTAGATTACCTCGCAGGTTATAACCCATATGCTTAGCCTCAAACTGACATCTCTTTATACCCTTTCACAGCCACAACTACTAAGCAATCACTTAATCTCCCTAAGTCTGATCTCGACAATAAGACATGAGAACATATTTCGTTCTAGCATTAAGCAACAGAAAGGATCCTTCAATGCACTTATACTCGAGGTTGTACGTCACATCAAAACGAAAATCAAGCACCCAATGGCCCCTCATTTACATTTCAAGGAAACACTTCTCGTCGTATTCAAATCGTCTTAACACATCCCGCAGTCACATCATACTCTTCACAAGCCATTCCATCGCACATCGAGCCACAAATTCCATTCGTAGGTACATTACCGGACATATGAATCAAAATGTAAAAGTTACAACTGAAGCTACCGAGCTTAAGATGCGGTCTAACCATGGCCTCAAGTCCTCCAGACTGGCCCATCACCAAAACACAAAATACACATCTCGAACCTCGTTCATAGAATCACAAGCCGGCGATGCACAGCCGATACCGAGCACTCACATGCGCATACGAATGCGTGGAAGGAATTCAAAGAGTTACACTTCAAGCTGAATCAATGCCGCACGATAAAGAGAGAAAGATGGGAAGTATATCCTAAAAGTCCTGTAGCCTCTCGAAGTTAGGTATGGACATCATCATACCGATCCACAAGACTCTACTAGACACTTGCTCATGACTTGTAGAACTTATGAACCTAGAGCTCTGATACCACCTATCACGACTCAAAATCCCATTAGTCGTGATGACACCTAACTCAACCCGCTAGGTAAGCCAATTAACAACTATCCAATTCTAATGATATTTAATAAGACAATTAAGTAAAGAAATTATCTGAATTTTATACATTTCCCAAGGACTAGTAGTACAAATCATAAGCTTCTAAGAATAGAATTTACAAAACTGAAATAAAATAAATATATCGTTTGTTTGAAAAGTACACAAACAGAGTTTTATAGATCTAAAGCTACCACGAACAAGGGGCAGCTACAACCGGGACGCAGGTACATCTTCAATCCAGCTCCCATCGAACACCGCAACATCAACAACCAATATCAGCACGGAAGGTGCAAAAGTATAATATGAGTACAACCGACCCCATGTAGTTAGTAAGTAACAAACCTAACCTTAGGTTGAAAGTAGTGACGAGCTAACACAAAATCGGGTCCAATACCAATATCCCACAATAGTTCATAACAACATAATACAAGTAATAAAAGATATATCTCAGAAGTAAAATGCTCAGTCCGTTCACAGTTCCAGAAAAATAGGTATTTATTTTCAAGTGTCTCAGTAAAAACCTAAATCTTTTACCGAAAAAGCCAAAATACGAGTAAGTTTGAAAACTGTGAATTTTCCCAAAAGTCCTTTCAACAATAAGTAAGATGTTTCATTTTCCTTTCATATAGCAAGTGTAAGATGTCTCTCTATACCCATATGTCAAAATGTACGAGAGGTCATAAATGACGTGATACTATACAACATGAGAAAAAATGTATCTCTATGCTTGTATGTCAAGTGCGCATGCCAAATGCGATGTAAATCAGTGATAAAGATCATATGCATACTCTCAGAGTATATGTTCACTCCGTCCTCCTCGGCACTCAACACTCGGCACTCGCACTCGGTACTCGACACTCGCACTCGGTACTCGACACTCGCACTCGGTACTCAACACTCTCACTCAGTAAGTACCTGCGCTCACTGTGGGTGTGCAGACTCCGGAGGGGCTCCTACAACCCAAGCACCATAATCCTCACGGGCAACTCACATGCCATAATATCAATATCTGGAATCGCACGGATAACTCACGTACTGCACGGACAACTCACGTGCTATAGTAAGCCAATCTGACCCACTGCGGCGTGCAACCCGATCCCATAATCATCCTCACAATCAGGCCCTTGGCCTCACTCAGTCATCAATCTCTCCAGTCTATCGAGCTCACAATGTCATGATACCAGCCAGAAAACAATGATATAAAGCATCAATAAATAACAAAAGAGACTGGGATATGATATGCATGTGAATGCGTGTGATTGAGTATGTAATGCAATGAAAGCAGATTACTCAATAACAGAAATGACCTTAGTAGGTCCCGACATGATAAACATGTAGCCTAGACATGATTTCTAACATAATCACAGCTCGATAACTCTAGTACATAGAGATTTCATGATTTCAAACAAGTTCAGTTAACTACACAATACCACAAAAATAACGAAAATCACAGTTCACAAGGTGCACGCCCACACGCCCGTCACCTAGCATGTGCGTCACCTCAAAAGCAAACACATAACACGTATATTCGGGGTTCATACCCTCAGCTCCAAGATTAGAAGAGTTACTTACCTCGAACAAGCCAATACCAATGCCGAGCAAGCCAGACGATGCTCAAAAGATGCTATCACGTGCGCTTCGACCTCCGCACGACTCGAAACTAACTAAAAATAACTCAAGTACATCAAACAATGCTAAATGAAGCAATCCCGATCGAAAAAGATCAAATCTTGAATCAAAAGCCCAAAATCGGCCAAAATCCCAAACCAGGCCCGCACCTCGAAACCCGACAAAATTTACAAAATCCAACAACCCATTAAATTACGAGTCCAACCATACTAGTTTCACTCAAATCCGACTCCAATTCGATGTTCAAAACTCAAAAATTCATATTATGAAACTTTAGGCCAAACCCCCCAATTTACTCTTTAAAATTCACAATCCAATTACCAAAAACGAAGATAGATTAAGGAAATATAACCAAAAATCGAGTAAAGAACACTTACCCCAGTCCACAAGATAAAAATTGCTCCAAGAATCGCCTCAATCTGAGCTCCATAACTCAAAAAATGTAAAAATGACCAAAACCCTCGAAATAGAGTTCTTATAATTTGCCGAGACGCCTTTTTTCGCGAATGCGGAAAACCCATTTCGTTCGCGATGAACAAAATATCCTGCCACCAAAATACTCTATGCGTTCGCGATACACCCCACGCGAACGCGACGAACACTGCTGCCAAAGTTTTGCGAACGCGACAAACCTTACGCGATCGCATAGAAGAACGCTCAAATTCCTAGTTGCCAACCTCAACACTACGCGAACGCGATCCTCCATACGCGAACGCAAAGAGGACTTGCCCTAACTCTACGTGAACACGGGACATACTTTGCGATCGCGAAGAACAATTTGTTGCTGCCATCAAAATACACTACGCGTTCGCGACACTTGCCACGCGAACGCGATGAAGGACTGAGACACGAGAAATCAGCAGGACACAACAATGTAAACATGAAGGAAAATGATCCGAAATCAATCCGAAACACGCCCGAGCCTCTCGGGACCACGTCCAAACATACCAACAAGTCCCCTAACATAACACGAACCTACTCGAGGCCTCAAAACTCACATAACAACATCGAAACGTCGAATCACACCTCAATTCGAAATCAATGAACTTTGAAACTTCAAGCTTCCACAACCGATGCTGAAACCTATCAAATCACGTCCGATTGACCTCAAAGTTTACGCACAAAGTCACATTTAACATTACAGGCTTGTTCCAACTTCCGGAATCGGAATACGACCCCGATATAAAAAAATCTACTCCCGGTCAAACTTTCCAAAATTTCAACTTTCGCCATTTTGAGCTAAATTCAACCACGGCCTTCGAATCACAATCTGGACGCGCTCCTAAGTCCAAAATCATCCAACAAAGTTAATGGAACCATCAAAATTCCAATTCGAGGTCAAATGCTAAAAAGTCAAACTTGGTCAACTCTTTAAAATTTAAAGCTCCCTAGTTGAGAATCATTCTTCCAAATTAGTCTCGAATAACCTGAAAACCAAACCGACGATTCACACAAATCAAAATACATCTTACGGAGCTACTCACGCCGGTAAACTACCGAGCGAAGTGCATATGCTCAAAACGACTGGTTGGTCCTTACAAAAATGCTCTAAAAGTATATATTTGAATACTATCTTAAACCTTCCTCCAATCATAAGGGATCATTTTTGTCATTCTCTCAAAGTTCTAAAGTATTTCCATATTTAAATGTTAGTGTCTCGACTTAGCTTTCTTGAACACAGACCCACAACGACGACGTATTACTCCCTCCAGAAAACCCAAATCAAACCTCTTCATCTTACTTGTGAGCCTATAAACCCCAATTTGCTGCTTCACGAGTCCTTATATTTTTTCGCCATGGACGAAGAAGAAATAGAGAAAGCAGTGGTAGCGTATTTGAAGAAGAAGGGTTTCAAGCAAACTGAGCTTGCTTTTCAAGAAGAACAGCAACTTAATAAAAACACAAATTCCCAGGTTGACCCTGACGTTACCAAAAAAATCCTCTCTTTCTCTGAGTAAGTCTCTTCTTTTCCGTAAATGTTACTGTTTGACTGCCTGGATTAAGTTGTAAACTCAATATGCTTTATCATTTTAATCTGAGGTAAACAATAGGACAATGTAGACTCTAAATTATACGCTGTTTGTCTCTTATAGTGGTTAGAAGATTTGTCAAATAGTGCAATTCAGCTGTACTTTTTTCATATACCCGTAGGGTCCGGGCCAGCTTGCGCGTACCATGGGGTATCTGCTGCACGCCAAGGATCGGACAGATGGGAAGAAATCATCTCGTGTTTTTGCCTCTGAAACTGAGACCTCATGGTTCTCAACCCCAATTCATTTTAATAAACAATTTTAAATGCTGTTTATCAGGACCTTTTTACCAAACACATATGACTGCTTATTTTCAGCTTCAACATTTCTATCCTGACATATAATTGCTTATTCATGAAATCAACTCCAGCACTTAGTGCTTAAGAGTACTTTTATTCAATTAAGGCAAAACAGCTTCTTAGTTGGTTGATATATAAGGGGTCTGCTAGTTGTTTTTACTGGTAAGAAACTGCAACATTATGATCTAGAACCAATCCTCCAAGTAATGACGTATCCCTTTCATTTTGAACTTTTCTTGATACTGCTTCACAATTTTTCTGTTGACATGTATCATAATATGTTAGTGATAACATTGTACCATTTTCCTGATTCCTTTAGGAACTTTGGATTTTCAATCTAGTGATTGTGCTCGCTAAATGAAACGAACACATGGAAAGGGTTGTTTTACTATAAGACTTGCGAGAAGATTTTCGGTTTAACGCTCACCGACTCTAAGTGAAAGTCTTGGTTGTTGTAATAAAGCAAAGCTTTTCTGGAATTTTTCCTACACGTGTCTTTGATAGCATTCTGAATCTAATTTTCATGATTTCAGATTTGAAACTGGTCCTGAACGGTACCAAGAAGAATATAGCAAGCTTCGATCATGGGCTTATAGTTCACTGGATTTATATAAGGTTGGTCCCTTGAATTGTGCTGAACAGTATACATAGGAGGTATTTGATGTAGTATAATGATGGATGTTTCCTTGATCAAATCACATGTGATGCACTAATATAAGGTCTGTCACCAATTTAACCCCTATGTACACTCTTAAAGCTAGATGTTTAGTTAGTTTTTTTTGCTGGAACAATTTACCCTGTTAAATAGTCCTGATGAATTTTTGTACTTTATTAGCTCCCTGGTCATAGCATAGTTTTTTTGTCCTCATGTATTGGAGCTAACTTTTGCCTATCTTTTGTACTCATTTGCATCTGCTTGATGCCTATTTATGAAACACCTTTACTTCATAAAAAATAAAAATAAATAAAAGGCCTGTCAGCAGTAAAAAGCATAGGCAATAAACACATATGGAAAAGACCTATCAAAAAAATTAAAGTAAAATAAATAAAAAATGAACACATATGGAAAGTAGAGGCCCTCTGTTATTTAAGTATTTCTATTCCTCAATTTAATGTATTGGGGCGATTAAGTGAGCATCTTGACCTCTTAATTCTTCAGGTGCTATGCCTTTCTGGCAGTGAGGTCTTTGGAATTGAGTTCACATATTTCCGATTCTCATCTCTGGTTTATTGCCTGTGCTATAAGCGTAGCAGTGAGTCAATTTAGAGTTTAGGTTAAACATAAGCATTCCAAGGCACCCAAGGATACAGCTTGGTGGTTAATGAAGTAGATTGAGAACCATGAGGTCTTAGGTCAAGTCCCAGTGGAGGTAAAAACACAAGGTGTTTTCTTCCCATCTGTCCAAGTATTGGTGGATAGAGTTACTCGGTACCTTTGCTCCAGAGCTAGCAGGTACCCAGTGAATTAATCAAGGTGTACGCAAGCTGATCCGAACACCGCGGTTATCAATAAGAAAAAAAAAGCATGACAATTCTGCTGTTTTTGTACATGTTAGGCTGTGTGATTGTACAAGGATGATCCTTTCTGTTGAATTAATCTCTTTAGGCTTCACTATTCTGTGTTTTCCGGTAATCATTGAAGCTACCTTCAATTTATTGTCCATTTTTGTTTACCTTTTAGGGTTTGTTATCAGCTCTTTCTGTCATTCATCCATCTCTCTCCATAAAAGCCTTTCTGTTCAAATGGAAGGAATTTCATATCCTAAAGAACCATAGGAGCTATTAGAGATACACATGAAGCAATGTTAATGGCGAGTATTCTGTTTCCTTTTTTCCTTTTGGTCTTTTCTCTTCCTGCAGTGCGGTTACGGGTTACAATACCTTTCTGATTCGCAGAGTTGATATTTAACCTTTGTTAATTCTAACAGGTTGACCATTGTTTCCTATATCGGGATTGTCAGTCTTTATCTTTCAATATGTAGACTCAGTTTTTTAATGTGTAGGCTCATTTAAGATAACCTTATTTTTGTTGATTATTGTTATCCTCTTTCACTCGTTAATGAGGGATTCATCTGAACATTTATATTTCAATCTTGCAGCATGAGTTGCTTCGTGTTTTATATCCTGTGTTTATTCATTGTTTCATGGAACTTGTCGCTAGAGGTCATATTCAAGAAGGTATACTTTATCAGTTACGTTTTGGTTGTTTCTGGATCATTGGGAGAAAAATTAAAACACAGTTCTTCTATTACCAGCTCGAGCCTTTTTTGATAGTTACCGTGAAGACCATGAGATGATGCATTTGCGTGATCTGCAGAAGTTAGAAGGTGTTCTCTCACCGTCCCATCTAAAGGTACATCACTATTCTAGCACCTATACAGACGTCCTTTTGCATGCTTAAGTGTGTCATATGCTTACTGAATATCTTAAAATGCAGGAAATGGAATTTGCTCATTCTATACGGCTTAGCAAAGTGAACATAAAGATGTGTCAGGTACTCTCTAGATCCCTCTGCTTTTTCAGGCTGAAATTATCATATGCTGTTATTGTGCCTGCTAATGTCTCAACTGTGCAAGCCAAGCGTGTCTGGGGTTGTTAGCAATTGGTGACAAATGCATATTGTATTAAAAAGGAGGGAACAAAACGAACTTATGTGATATTTTAATTTAGATTGTGTTCTCTTTTGCTTCCTGATTTGGACCACCTTTATTCTGCTATGAAACAACTTGATTTAAAGATCTGTATCTTTTTTTTTTTTGGAACATTAAAGCATGAAATTCATAACAACTTGATTTAAAAAGAAAGAGCTTGAAATTGTAACATTTGCCATATTGTCCTTCTCCTTTAATTTTCTCACCATTTCTCCTTTCACATAAAATATTCCTGGTTGGTGCAGTAGCAAAACTCCTATTCATTAAGTTGATAACATAGTGAAGGCCACTACTTTGACTTAATGAGAAATAGGATGGGAGGGTTGGGGTGGGGGTGGGGGGGAGTGACTAGTTCATCTCAAGGTCATGTATGTTTGTGGAACTGAACTATGATATTTTATGTGCTATTCTCATGACCAAGTATAATTGTCATTATGCACATTAAAGGAGAAGTCATCTGCCTAATAGTTTGTCTAGTGTGGTGGTTTTACACGCAGCTTGATAACTGTTTCTTGGCGAATGAGACAGATCTAACACCATTTAATATTTAACTTTAACTTCTTGTCCAATTCAAAGAAAACTCTTAACTTCTTGTATGTAGTGTAACACCTTAAACATTTCTGCCTTTGCACCATGCACACATGTAGATTTTAACTAGATTAACTTTTTGATTTGCTTTGCTACTCTGAACAGTACTCTTATGACCTTTTGCTGCAATACTTGCACAAGACAGAGTCTATTACAATGCTTGGAATCATCAATGAGCGCATAAATTTTCAAGGTGCAGTTCCCACTTCGTCTGACAAACAAAGTTCCCACCTTTTCTGCACAGCTGCATTCAGCCTTTCTATTTTCAGCTGTTTTAAATTGACCATTTTCATTTAGTTTAAATATTTATTTCACCATTAAATTTATAAAGAGGAGCAATAACATCTTTCCATCTTCTTTGTTAAGATAACCCAACCGGATGAGAAGGAAGAAGAGAAAAAAGTTGCGAGAGAAGCTGAAGCCTTCCACATATAACCCCTCTTTTCTCTGATCCCTTTCCCCTGATACAACAAATGCCCATTAGTGCATCCACTGAAGAAAGACAGGGAAAAGGAAACGTACCAATTCCAAGTCCCCTCCTTTCTTTCAAATCATTGTTTGTTTTGTCCCTCCAATGATCATTAACCATCTTTACCCTCGAAAACCACACATGTGACAGAATCCTGTACCTTGTTCCTCAATCATTATATAATCATCTGCTGTAGTTTGGAGTTATGTATTTATTAAATTAAGTACAATATTAAGCTCATTTCTGTCAAATGGCAGTTTCTCCTGGACAGCCTGGCTCCATATCTGATGATGCAGAAGTTGTAACTCTCGTTGGAAGTGGCCCTGATGCTAGCCTCTTAAATCAGAAAGAAATTCATTGGGGGGTAAGCAAATGATCGTACCAATAAAGCAAGCTTATGCTTTTCGATGGAGGATGTAGTACTATCAGCTTAGACTATTTTATCTGTCAATACCTCAAGCTATTTGATGAATATTCTTGTTTGTTGGTTAGCTGCCCATGAAACAATAGCTGAAAAATCTTCTCATGCTAATGTGGAAGATTGAAATACAAAAAACCAAAATAAAAAATAAAAAATAATCAAATTCCCTTACCAGCAGATAGTGGAGGGAGTGCATTGAGTTGTTGAGAGAGGAGGGTAATTAGTGGGAGAATAGCAAAACCAGCAGATAGTGGAGGGCTGAGTGCATTGAGTTGTTCTTCCAGGATTCGTTTGGAAAAAAAGGTGCCCTATAGTTCATCAAAGTAATCAGAGACCATTTGCATTCGGATCCGGACCCATTATCAAATTCTTTTTGGTAAAAACCGTGAGAGATTAAAGTATAAATCTGGACAGAGACAAAAATACTTGGTGATTCCATCACATCTGCCTAAGTATTGATGTATAGGGTTACATGAACATGTGCTAGTGGGGGGTAGTAGATACTCGGTGGAATAGTCGTGATGTGCGCAAGTTGGCCCAAATAACATCATTAGTGAAGGGGAAAAGGAGAGAAAAAGTAGAGGGTGGAGCACGTGATTTTTCTCATCTATTTAAGCTTTGGTAGATAGAGTTATCCAGTGCCGGTGGGAGGTAGCAGGTACCCCGTGGAACTAGGCGAGGTGCGCACAAGCTGGTCCGACACCTTTTTTATATATAAAAATGAGCTACTAGTTGTTGACATGTGATAAGCTTACTCCTTTGCGTATCAACTAATATTGGCTAATGAGAGAAGTCCTGGGTGATCATTGCTCCGATGCTTCGGGCGAAACCAATTCCCAAGGTGTGACAGGCGGGCGTGTAAAAGACCCTGGTGAATATGGCATGCTGATTGTAGCC